TGTTGTTGTTGTTGTTGTTGTTGTTGTTGTTGTTGTTGTTGTTGTTGTTGTTGTTGTTGTTGTTGTTGTGTTGCTGGTATTGTTGTTGTTGTTGTGTTGCTGGTATTGTTGGGGTGGCGTTGGTATTGATGTTGTTGTTGTTGTTGTTGTGGTTGTGTGTGGCGGGGTTGTGGGATGTCAATATGGCGCAGGTTGGAAAACGTACGTGCGGCATGAAGGGCATGCGTTGTGCCTTTGGTGATGACGTTGCTGCCACGATGTGCATGGTGCTTTGGAGTAAGTGTCACCTCGAATCGACGTGATGCGGACGCCAAGCAGAAAGAGTGGTCGGGCAAACGTTTGAGGATCAAATGGCAAGGCAGCCCTGTTGAAGACCAAGACCGAGGTTGAGCGTGCCGTGCGTTTCTTTCTGCACGAAGAGGAAGGGACCTTCTCTTGTTGTGATCTAGCAGTAGGCATGTAGAATGAAATGTGGCACGTGAACGCGAATTTAGGAATTGGTTCGGTTTGATGTTTGAACCTGGTACCGTTTACCAGAGCAGCCCCCCCAAGAGCATGTGTCCGATCGTCCGCCCCTCCTCCTCGTTGTATACTTCTTTAACTGCTACGATATACGTAGGTGGACGAGTCGGAGGCGATAGAGGGCAGCTATGGCGGGGGGCCCGACGTCCTTGAAGAGCGATTCAGAGATACCCACACCTTCTTCCCGAGAGACGTCGAAAGCGACGGCGGTGGTGTCGTTGGCAGGGGTGAGGGGAAGAGTTAGATATTCCACACTACTCAAAAAGTTTCATGTTGTCGACAAGAAGGGAGATAGTCTTCGCACTCTGTGTTTTGGCTTCATACTTTTGTAGATGCGCGCGAGATGGTGGTTGTCCTAGAGAGGGGAAGGGTGATGTCGACGGCTTTGATAGTAGTACACAGATTGTATAATAGTATCGCTAGGTCTTTTTTGTTTTCATGGATGGGCAAGGGGCAACAAGGGAGTTCGTTTTAACCGTGTGGTCGTATTGTACGTATGTGGTAGACTACAGCAGTAGTGCACAAGTCGCTCATGAAATCAAGGAGCTTTGCACGACCCTTCTTGCTGTCGTTGAGCGGTCCGGGGGACGTTAACGAGTCAGTCGCCGCGGTAACCTTTGTTGTACACCCCCGGGTGTTGGTTTGTTGCTGTCGTTGTTGTTCTTGTAGCTGTCCTCGCCTTTGTGGTTGTTGTTGCTGATGATCGCGGCGTGGCGTCTTGGCGCCCCTCGCAGGATGGGCGGTCGGCGGGGACAATACCTCGGCCTACATGCTGGTCTACGTGAGGGAGTGCGACCTGCCCAAGACTATGTTGGACCTGACCAACTCCGAGGACAATGTACGCACCCTGTTGCCGTTTGTTTGCCGTTGCCGTTGCCGCGGCTCGTCGTGGTGATTTATGCTGCTGACGTTGCTCCGCTTGCCGTGGTCATCGTTGAGTTGCAGCTCAAATCTCGTACATGCAGTACTCGAACGCTAGTTTTTCTGAAAGCTATTACTCTGCACAAGAACTTCCTTGTCGCTTGTCACGAAATCCACGTATCCCAAAAGCTCTTCATCCCCAATTCTATTTTATCCCACAAGCCATTGTATCCCAAAAGTGTTCCCCCCCCCCGCCGGAACACAAGCGCGTCGTGTTGCCCGCTTTGGACCCATCTCGCGTGCACTCTCTCCACCCCCTACGTAACCCCTCCTTTCATGTTTCTGATATTGGTTCCTTCCTTCCTACTGGTATTATAGGGAATCCCGCAACGTCTCCGAGAGCGTTTCGTGAAGGAGGAAGAGGACCAGCTTCGTCGCTTCATCGAGAAGAACGAGGCGCACTTGTACTTCACTATCAGGGTAAGGGATTCAAGGGGTGGAAGTAGAGGGGGTTGCGGCGGCACCGAAGCAGCTCGCGGTCTGTTGCTTTTAAGACAATCGTCCCTTGTCATGGATAAAACAAAGCAATCTTCCTCCTGTGTGACCCCGGTTGGTACGTCAACAACCGTAGTCTCCGAAAGGTGTCGACGTTAGGAATAGATGCGGAACGAGAACAAATCCAAACATACCCAACACACTCAACACACACGTACGCCGGCGATTCCCGGCGGCGTCGTGACTGGTACGGCATGGTGTCGACTTTTGGGTCGTAGATAGGGTCTTGCGTAAGCGTACATCACGTTGGCACGAAACGTAGTTTGGTTGGTCGTGTTTGCTGAAGACATCCACGCCCCCAATTTTTTTCTCTCCCAAGACGGGAGGGGCGAAGGGTGGGATGGGCACGGTCGGGGCTACACTTTTTGACAACGACACGCACATAGCGCAGAGGTTGATGAGGTAGTAGACTATAGGACCTCTTTTTGAAATGGGTCCCTTTGAAAAGGTAAATGAAGACCACTCTGATACGATAAACTCGGAAACTGATGCGTGCACTGAACGATCGGCCGATCGGCGCGGGCGAATAACATGAGGGCAACGCGCATAATATCCCTGCCATCACCCCCCCCC